AGCACCTCTGAATCTCCAATGTCCTGCCATGAGGTGGCCAGACCTACTACTAAGTATATGATCCCAGGAGTCTGTCCACTCCTCCTGTATCGATTCAGCTCAGGTGTCCAGGTAGTCAGCCACCAAATGTGTGGTGCAGGTTCTCACTTACAATCCTATACAGCCATGGGTGATTGGTGTAGGCATAGGCATCTAGCTGCAGCAGGGGGTCACATGTTGTGTATGGCAGTGGGCCCATGGTTGCCCCCCAGTGTTTGGGAGGAAAGCATGTCCCTGTTCCCTAAAGCGCATAGGTGGGCGGGTTTTGCAGCCAGACAGTGAGCATCCAGTGCTGTTGGCTGCAAGGACTGGGGGTACCACTTATTCTTACGCCCCTGTCACAGGTGGCTAGGTGGCATGGGTGGAGCCACCAGTCCTCAAACCCCTGATGTGGGTAGGTGAATGCCCTGCTTAATGGGCAGAGCAGTGTCAAATGTCACAGACCTGCCACTTCACAGCTGAAACAATTGAAGTTAGACTTCAAGTATATACCCTGTAGTACTATGGTAATGAGGACCTACCTGTTGAAATGGGTCCACACAAGTCTATGCAGGGATAAATGCACTCAATGTCCGTGGACCCCTTATGCCTGTGCCTAGGCAAAGGACCTGTGCCTCTCCTGAATTCCTGGCTTAGGGGAACCAGCAGATTATTTTTTCCCCTGTTTGTTAATTTGTTCTCTTTCCAAGGCCAGGAGAATGGCTCAGGGTGTGTGGTGGGTCCTACTTCCTGTCCAGGGGTCTCAGATTCGCTGAAGCCGTCCCAGACCCAGTGCAGAGCAGGGAGTGGGGAAGTAAATGGGAGAGAGGTTTTTCCGTAAGGGAGGTGTTTTTGATCCACATGGTATGCCAGACACAAGTACTTATCTTTCACCAATCGAGGGCTGCTTCTCATTGGTTCTGGATAGCCTAGTAGACACTTTAGAGTAATTTTTGACCATTAGGTCTCCTATAGTTGATCTTTTTAAAGAAGCTCATTACTCACAGGCGATATTCTTTATTTCATGATCCAATCTGTTATTTAGCTAACAGGTGACCTCAAGGGGTAATTCCAGTTTCAGGTTTAACTCTCAGGACAATAGTCTCAGGGAGTCCTTTAGTCTCAACCGGTCCAGTAAATCTGGACTCTTTAAGCATTCGAGTTCTATTCCACATTTTTCTCCTCTTCTATGTTGAGATATAGAACCTACACTTTATGAACTGTATTATGCCAATGAACTCAGTTGTCTCATGATTGGTTTTCAAACCCCAAAAACCAATCTTGCTAGGTGTTTAGTTACATCTAAAAAGTATTCATCCATGTGTCCCCTATGTGGTTTATTATGTATATAGATACACAGGTATGCACACACATAACTATATGTACATATGCTTATAAATACTTTTATCTGTGCATTCATATGTACCTTGATATTTGTAGTTTTATATGCCTATAATCAAATTTGTATAAACACACCCATTTTTTTTGTTGTTGTTTTTGTTGTTTTCAAATTATATTTGTCGTATTATTTACCAAAGACACCCTTTTCTCCTGTACATTTTGTAGTGACCTCATTTACCTTGGTTAAGCTGTGTGTACTTCACCCATATTTGATGTTATCTTTCCCATCACCAAAACTAACAATTGTCTACTATCTTGAGAGTGCTTCTCCCCGGCATCCGTAGTAACCACCAGTTAGCATTGGTTTCTCTATGTATATCTATTCCTGTCTTCTTATAAAAGTGTGATCATACAATATTTGTCCTTTTGTGAATGACTTATTTCACTCAGCATAATGTCCTCCAGATTCATCCACATTTATAATGTTTTGAGGGCTCATCATTACTCTTTATGGCTGTGTGATATTCCGTTTATGTATGTACCACATTTTGTTTATCCATTCATCCGTTGATAGGCAGTTAGGTTAACATCTTTTTGCTGTTGTGAATAATGCTTCAATAAACATAGGCGCGCTCAACAAATATTTGTTATCACCTAACTTGCGAAGGCAAGGTAATGACATGGGGAACACAGTAGGGTTGGAAGTAAAAATAGAACAGGAAGTTCTGGATAAATCTCAGGGTTTTCAGAAATCCAGAATATAAATAATACTACCAAGACTAGGAAACTTGATTTTTTATACTAGTGTTACTTTTGTTATGTAAGAGTATCATGATTTAGGAAGTGAGATTTGAGCTTGTTAGAAAAACATAAGAGTCCTATCTCTATCTCCATGTTCCCGTGATATTTAAACTTTTAATCACTGGACTCTGCACTGTAGAATTGTATTCATCAAGCCACAATAATTTCAAGAGATGAACAATGAAAGTATTTTCCTGTGGGATTTTCTTCTTGGTCAAAAAGGACCACATAGCATGCTTTCTAGGCAAGTGTGATAGAAAATATTCAGCCTACTTTTTAACACCCCTACACCCACCCCAAGACCAGTTGATGGATCTCTTTGAAAATTGTTCAGTTTTAGAATTCAGAAGCATCTAGCTAGATGTTTGTGTAGGTAACTCAGAGTCCATCTTAGAAGTACTATATATCTAGTCATATTTTGATCTCCTCCTTTAAAGCCCCTCATTTAATTAAAGAAGCTTTTTCTCATTCTATAGTCTTCTGTTCTTTTGTGGAAATAGCACTTATTGGGAGCAGTTGACTTGATTTCTAGTTCCAGCTTTGCTGCTAAGTAGTTTTATGACTTTAGGCCACGGGTTGGCAAACTACAGCCTGCAGGTCCAGTCCTGCCCACCACCTGTTTTGTAAATAAAGTTTTGTTGAAACACAGAAATGATTATTTGTGTATTTATTGTCTGGGGATGCTTTCAGGCTACAGTAACAGAGATGAATGGTTTTTACAGGACCATATGGTCCACAGAGCCTAAAATGTTTACTATAGCCCATTACAGAAAAAGTTTGCCAACTCCAACTTTAGACAAGTCATTATTTTACTTGAGCCTCAGCTTCTGCATTTATAAAATTTGAAAGTTGGACTGGGTTGTCCCCAGAGCGCATGCCTTCCTTAGCATTCTGTTACTCTAAAGCCCTTCCTGCAGGGCAGTCCTATCTTATATCAGTCATTGTATACTGCAACATAAACCAATTCATTTTTGTATTCATTTTTTCTATATTAAACATTTAGTGTTGGAACCGCTGTGGAACATTAATCAGTCTAAGTGAGTCCCTGCCCGTGAGAAGCTTATAAACTAGTTAGAAGATAGAGTCACAAACTTTACAAGTTAAATAATAATAGAAGGTAGTAAAGGATAACATAACAAATTGAGTGATAATTGTTAAAGGATTTCAGAGTAAAGAAATCTCTGTGGGCTGAGATGATTAGGGAAGACCCTTAGGAGAAGGTGGAATATGATCTTGGATTGTTTTAAAGAACAGTCACCTTCACTGCCCTGTAGAATACTGGATTCAGTGTCCCTCTGAAACAGTTGTTTTATAACTTTAAAGTGCAATAAAATCACCTCAGTAACTAGGAAAAAGATGCAGATTCCTGGGACCCAACCCTGGAGATTCTGTTTGTAGATCTGGGGTACAGTCCGGAAATGTGCATTTCAATAAGCACCCTGGGGGATTCTCTTATAGATGGAGTCCTTGCTTACTTTTATTGAGAGTTTTTATCAGGAATGGGTATTGGACTTTGTCAAATGCTTTTTCTGCGTCAATTGAGATGATCACGTGATTCTTTTCTTTCCTTTTATTTATGTGGTGGATTATGTTGATTGATTTTCTAATGTTGAACCATCCTTGCATACCTGGTATGCATCCTACTTGGTCGTGGTATATTATTATTTTAATATGCTGCTGAATTCTGTTGGCTAGAATTTTGTTAAGAATTTTTGCATCTATATTCATGAGAGATACTGGTCTGTAATTTTCTTTTTTTGGTGATGTCTTTGCTTGGTTTTGGTATCAGCGTTATGCTGGCTTCATAGAATGAATTTGGAAGTGTTCTTCCTCTTCTATGCTCTGAAATAGCTTGAGTAGTACTGGTACAAGCTCTTCTGTAAATGTTTTGTAGAATTCTCCAGTGAAGGCATCTGGGCCAGGGCTTTTTTTGGTTGGGAGTTTTTTTATTACCTTTTCAATCTCTTCTCTTGTTATGGGTCTGTTCAGATTTTCAACATCACTTTGTTGTAGTTTGGGTATGCCATGTGTTTCTAGAAATTGATCCATTTCCTCTAGGTTTTCAAATCTGTTGAAGTATAGTTTTTCATAATATTCTGTTATAATCCTTTTTATTTCAGTTGGGTCTGTTGTAATGTCCCCCGTTTCATTTCTTATTTGGGTTATTTGTGTCCTCTTCTGTTTTTCTCTTGTCCTTGCTTACTTTTAGAAATACTGTTCTGGAAATTTGGTAGTTGTTAAATACTCTTTCTGCCCAGGGATTTATGCTTGGTCTGGCAGAGTCTTATTTAACTCTGGGTTTTGTGTGATTATGAGGAACTCCGTTGTCTAGAGAGCAATTACTTCAGTGACATTCTCTCTCCTTTTAGGAAATCTGAGACTCCACCCAGCCAGGAAGAACATCCTGAGAACTCTGTTTCTCAAGGCTATTGAACTCCTTTAGAATCCTGAGGAGAACTCTGAGATCAGTACAGCTGTTGTGCCTCGAATAGTTGAGTGACTAAATCATTGAAAGAATCAGGGTACTAACCACTTCCTTTGACATTTGACTCTTGGTCTTTTTGTTGCAAGCTCCTTCCTTGGTCTTGCAAAGCTGGCTGGGGTCAGCATTGTGGGTCCAAAAAAAAAAAAAAACCCTCAACGAGAGAGGTTAGGAATCTCCAATGTCCATCCTAAAACATGTCACTGAAGACTTGAACACATCACCAAATACTCAAGAGACAGACGATAGATTCCACCTATGGGAAAATGAACCTCTGAAGAGAAGTTTGGAGTCATTATCAAAGTCATTAACTGGAATACCTGAGAGTCATGTGGCTGAGGTTTCACAAGATCCTATCATGCCTTCAATCCAGAGGAGAAGGCTAGACCCACTCCCAAAAAAGCAGAGGCATCCTAGGAAGGCCACAAGGACAAAGAGAACCAGGAAGATCAAGAGAAAGGAGAAGGTGGAAGTCCACTGCCTCCCCATTTTTCCAACGCCTTCGGTACCACTAAAAAGTGAAGAAAATGAGGCTGTAGATAAAAAGCCAACCCTAGTCAGTGCCCAGGAGAGTGATCCTTACCTTCCCAATGAGGTAAGGATGAGACATAGAAGTGGCAAAAGTCAAGTCTGGCCACTTTTCCATAGGAAAAATGACTTGTTACTCTTTACCTGGAGAAGGAGGAGTTGGGATGAGTTTGAGAAACAGACTAGGATTCTTGGGTCCAGATAAAGCATGAAAGAATTGGTTCAGAAGGTCATGTCCTTTCTGTATAAGTGTGTTAGCTTTGAGGGCTTTTAACGTCTTTCTTGTATTTGTAGGACAAATTATAGAGCGAGCAGGATGAGGGTACCTGTCTGATACATCAGGAATGTCAGAACCTGCCCTGTGGGCTCTCAGTGTCCCAGGAACCAGGGCCCTCTTCTCCTATAGTGACGTCCTTGGCATCACCACCACTCTGCTTCGGTCGTTTCCTAAGCTGTGTCTGCCAGACCTTCTCGAGGTCTAGGAAGCGGAAACCTCACAGAAGAAAGGGCAACAAGCAGGCTGAGACAGGAGGTGATACTAAGGCTCCCAGACCTGTCCTGCTGCTGGGTCTGGCAAAAAACAAAGTGCAGCCGCACCAAAGCCTGTAGCAACTTGAAGATGGTAGAAGTTTCTCTTGTGTTTATTTTTAGAGTTTTCTCTGTATATCCTTGTACTTGTGAGTTGAGTTCTTGTTTTTCAGAAGGATAGATAGCAGCTTTAATGCTGAAATTCCCAACCTGAGAGGAAGTAAAACCAAAGTAACTTCGAGACTTTTAGCTCAGCACCTATTGGTTGGATTACTTCCTATTTCCTTCCTTTTAGGGAAGTGGGATTTGCTCTGGAGCAGTGGCTCCCAAAATTCATGTGTATTTCACTCCTATATTAAGTTGGCTTAACTTGTCTTCTTAATTGACTTCTCTGAGGAAAGAAGCTGTATTATAAGAGGGAACAATGTCATCATTTTGGGTAGTGTTTTCTGATATTGACCACCAAGTGGAGACTCCATATCCAGCTCCTTTCATTTTCTTTTACCTTTGACTAGAGATTCATTTTGCGTTGTGCTTCTTCAGTACTTTGCTGAAATTCTGCCACTTACTACTTGATTTTGATAAGCCCCAGGGGGTGGTGGCACCTTCTGTTCTTGGACAGGATGCCATTACCCTTTATCTCTGAGCAGTGTTTGGTTCCCTTTTTTGTCATGTGTTACAGAGATTCCTGGCTCTTTCCTCTGAACTGTACCCCTGGTATTCTCTAGCTGTCTGTATCAAAAACATAGTCACACAAGATAATTTTCCTTCCTTGTCATTCTTTAGCCAGACTCTTACAGAACCCTGAGTTCTGAGAATCCTAAAGAAAATGAATACTTTAAAATTTCAAGATCATTTCATTTTCCTTTTGTTTTCCTGGTGTGCTAGATTAAACCTCTTCTGAGGATATAAAATAAGAGTTTAAGCTAATCTTATACCTTCTTTTGAGGGAGTGTGTTTAAGAAGAGTTTGGGAGTTTCCTTGTAGCTTAAACTACCTGTTATTATTTCCTACTTAGTTCAGTTTCTCAGTTCATGTAGGAACGATAAGTAAAATTACAGGTATAGATGAATATTTAGAATGTCTGCATAAGAAGAAAATGATATGCTTTATTTTCTTCCTTCCTCAGCACTGGCCCTGATAATTACTACATTAAAATTGGAGAATGTGACCAATCGTTTGTTCAGTTTTGGCCTGGAACAGGGCTTTGTACTGTTGGAGGGACGTGATTTGGAAGGGAATAGAATGAGTTTCAAGGGTGATGTCAAAGACCTTCAGTGCTGCCTCAGAGGTAGTAGGTAAGAATCAGTCTTGAAGACATCTTGTGATTTGGTGAGGATCTCTAATTACAATAAAAAATTTGGAGGATATCTTATTCAGTGTTTGGGGTAAAATGAGACACCTTTCTGAAGTCAGCCATGCTTTGTGGCCTTCAGTTAGCTAACAGGGGTTTGATGATCTCATTTTGCACTCCCTTCAAGAAACAAATGCTAGAGTATATATGGTTTTAATTGAGCTAGTTGACCATTATAAATTGGCTCTAGCTTTTACGTAAAATTACAAATTATCTAAACTGTACGTATATTTATGTACATATTTTCACAGTTTAATACAAGAAAAGTACTCCTAGGCCAGGCATAATGTAGATAAAGTCTTGAGTCATAGAATCTGTTATTAATACCTCAAAGGAAGGTAGATATTAGTGTTGCTATTAGTACTATATTTTTATTATTGTTTCTTATCATACGAAATTTCAGGATGAACTGTTATAGAAAAACTATTAGTTGGTCCCCGGCTCCATCTATAGTACTGATTTTTATGTAAAGTTTATTTACTCCAAACTTCAAATTCAAGTTTCAAATAAGGAAAAACCTATCCAGGCACTGAGTTTTGACACTCTTTTGCTCCTGTGTCTTGGCCTCTCACTCAGAAACTGGAGAGTGTCCAGTCTCCTCTGATGCCTTTGTAAACAATAAATTGAATGTTCTTAAGTTTCAAAGTTTGTGTTGCTATCTTGTGACTTGAATTATTAAACATGGTTTATGACTTAATAAAGCTGTTTTTGAAAAATATAGAAAAATAGTACAGCTGTATCAAAGTAAAAACAAATTAAAAAATAAAACTAATACCATTGATGAATGATAAAGCTTACCCCCATTAAAACAAACAAACAAACAAAAAAACCCATTGCTGTCAAGTCAATTCTAACTCACAGCAACACTGTAGGATAGACTAGAAATGCCCTGTAGGGTTTCCAAGGTTGTAATCTTTACTGAAGCAGACTGCCACATCTTTTTCCCATGGAGCAGCTGGTGGGTTCAAACCACAGCTCTTTTGGTTAGCAACCAAGTGCTTAACCACTGCCCCTCTGAGGTAAAGCTTAGAGGTCATTTCTTTTTTTTGTAATTTTATTGTGTTCTCAGCAAGGCAGATAAACAGATAATTGGCAAGTATAAAAATTATCTAAAGTATTTAATGTATTCAGTTTCTTTGTTGTGTAAACTCTGAGGTGGACAGGTGGGTATTGCTGTACTCATTACTACAGGTTAGTTAAGCTGAGGCATTAATCATTCACGAGATTGGATAGGGAATTAAAATAAAAGTTTTTAGAACAGAACGTTTAACCACTAACCTATGCTTTTATTGTGATTGTTATTGCCATGCTTCTTGTCACAACGTTCCGTATTGAAACGCTTCCTACTGACCATTTTGTTTCTGTCACCTTGTCCTCACATTACTGTCCAAATATCAACTGACGTCTTTGTTTACCTGGAAAATTTTAACGTGAAAGAATCCTGGCTAGTGTAAAATTACACAAAGAACCAATAGAAAGAACTTATTTATTAACTGGGTTTTGACAGAAAAAGTAGACATTATCTAGTCCTGCCGTCTTATTTATCAGAGGAACCTGAGACACAGAGAAATTATGTAACATTCTCAAGATGGCATAGCTGTTTAGTGACAAAGCTAAAACAAGTAATAGCTAATAGCTAACATTAGATTAAAATTGTGCTTTATATACATCATCTGTAATCTTCAAGCTATCTGCATAGTGTTGGTATTAATATTTTCACTTCACGGATGAGGTGAGTCAAGTTCAGAAAGATCCTAGGACTGGCAAGTGACTGATGTAGAATTCAAACCCAGGCCTGCCAGACTGCAAAGCCTATGCTTATTACGTTCTACCTCTCAGTATTATAATTTAGAAAATCTCTTCATTGCTAAGTCTTTAATATTAAGAACAGGCAGTTTCTCTTATTGGCCAAAATTTAGTTTTTAGCCTCAATAAAAAACCAAAAACCAAACCCATTGCATTTGAGTTGATTCCTACTCATAGAGACACTATACGGCAGAGTAGAACTGCCTCACAGGGTTTCCAAGGAGCACCTGGTGGATTTGAACTGCCGACCTTTTGGTTAGCAACCGTAGCTCTTAACCACTATGCCATTAGGATTTCCAGTATAATAAAAGATAGTCCAGTTCAAAAACTGGAAAGACAAAGTCCAATTAAGAAGACCTTTTCTTCCAGGTAAAATGTCTGTATTGGGCAGTGAATAATAAAATAGTTAAATGTGACTGATAAAAGAAAATTGCAGTGTAATATAAATAAAGTTTTAATCATTACATCCAATTACTTAGAGACAATTACTTAACTGAAAAGTGATCAAGAATAAAGGGATAGCAGAAAATCAAAGCAGGACCTTGTCTTAACAGGATCACAAGACAAAGCACAGCAAAGATGAATTAGGTCCCGTAGAAAGCTAATAGACTTAAAAGCATTTCTAAACTGTTTCCAGGTGAATAGTTTGGGACTTGGGTAGCAGAGAGATAGGCTCCATCACCTAAGTAACCCCATGACCCTTGAAAGAAGTGAGTATACTCCCGCTAATGTATTCCAGGCTTTAAATAGGAAGTTTGAATTTTCTCACGCTTCAAAACATTCTTTTCATTCTGATTTGACAAGGCCTGTTTCAAGACAAAAGAAAAGAACAACAAAACTGGGAGATTCAAACCACTGGTCTGTGTGGACAATGAATGCCGTTCTTCATTTTTTCAAATTCAGGGCACGAGGACAAACGTTGTACGTGGGAGAGCAGATTGGTGCAGACAGATTTCTTGAGCTGTTTTCTGTCACCTATAAAGAATTTCAGCCCTGCACCCATCATAGAACCTTTGTGATTGACTATCCCAGATGCAGATATAGCTATCATCCCACTGGTTCACAGTGCTGATCTAGAGGATGTTTTTGACTGGGATTTTCCCTTCCCCATACCTTACAATCAGTTCTGCAGTTGGTGACAGGCCCATAGAAGGTTATCTTAGTAGAGGTTTAAATAGTGTACATGAAGAGAAAACCTCAAAACAGATTAAACATTCTTTAAACAAGTTACCTAATTTCAAGTGAATTCAGAATTCTACTATTTTATTACAAATGATTTCTAACATGAACTTGCTTTCTTTCCTGGTTGTAGTCACCATTCTGATTCTAGGATGCCTGCAGTAATGCACAGGACTGGATCATTACAGTGGTAGCCCTCTGGTGAGCAGGACAATAGATCCATTCACAGAACAGTGATGAAACAATACCTGGGATTTTTAATAACTATTGTGAGAGTTGTCTTTTTTTATGTCTTTCCTTTTACTTGGAAACAAAAAATATAATGATGGTAAAAACAAAAAACACACAACCCTCCCTCCCCCCAGATTTCTGTCAGCATTTAGTAGCAAACCTTCTGCTAGGCTAATGATGCTCAGTAAGAATGTGGCTAAAATTTACATACAGAAGATAATAAATTAAAAATAAAATGATCCTTCAATCTGTTTTCTAAAAGCTATCATTCATCCTAATTTAAAATTTGGTCTCATTTTAAAATTTGTGAAAGAAATCCTGTGTGTAATTCTATAAATTATCTATTTCTACATGTTATCTAATTACATAATAAGCATTTGTGAAATATCCACTGGAGTCGGACTTAGGACTTAAAGAATAAATGACTTGATATTAAATCCTAGTTTTGCCATTTACTTTTGGCAGGTTATTTAAACTTATTAATCCTTGGCCTCCTCATCTAAAAAAGGATAGTAACACCCCACAAGTGGTTTTGAGAATTTCATGATATAATATCTCTGAAAGAGCATAGTGGCTGTT